ACTGCAGTCCCTTTCATTGGTTACACTTGGCCATTGTTAGGTGTTGTGTTTTAGCGAGTCATAGTGTTATTTGCATTAAAATGCCACTTGAAGTACGAGTCCCAAAGTATCATACAATGGTTAGTGTGCAAAGAGATTCATAAAGACTATCTATAATTTTGTATCCCTAAGGTAGAGGGATGGACATGGTGAGAAGGGTATAGGATCCAAGTGAAGCAATAATAAAGAATCTGCTTTGCTGAAGAAACTTTTTGTAAACAATCTTCCGTAATAGTTCGACTCCATCCAAAGCCTCTATCAACTTAGTTCGAGAGATCATGCCACCTCTCACATTGACGAAGGTGTGCACGAAGTCAATTCCGTTTATGAGAATAATAGCACCAAACATTATCCACGAGAGATTGTGGAAGACAAGCCATTAGTGTCGTTGTTGCCCTAATTCGAAGGTGCAACATACTGGTTTATCGATTGTCATTCTCTCTATCTTATAGGTCCTTCGACCTTGTTTTTTCCTACTTAGGTTGATGACAAACGAGCTTGCTGAATGAGTGCAACCTGCTTGTACGTGACAAGCAATCTCCTACAAAATGTAATATCTAATATAATCCACTCTATAGGGACCGAGAAAGTACCCAAAAGAAAATCAAATACTTTGAAAGAAGAGTGAATAAGTGGTAAGTATCATTCGAACTCGACGCGTTAAATCTAAAGTAGTGTTCGAAATTTGTATAAATATTATAAATTTATTATATTTGTTGAGGATGCTATTTTGTATGCATGAGGATTGAGGAATGAGGAGTAGGCCAAGGGAGGATGATCAGTTTGAAAGTCTGCTGAAAGTATTTATTGCAACCGATTACAAAAACGACCAAAAATATAAAATGAAAGAAAGAAGAATTAAAGTTGCTAAGTGATAAAAAGCAAAAAAAAAATCCCACCCCCAACCTCACTCCTTCCTCCCTCCTCCCAAAAGAAACAAAAACAGAGAGATAAAAAGAAACAGAGCATAATCAAATCGTGTTGGTTTTCTTCGCATAGAAGTACATCAGAGAGTTTAGAGAGAGAGAGAGAGAGTTGAGAAGGGGAAATGGGCAAAGTTTAAGCAAGGAGCAAGCAGCATAAACAAAAACAGAGAGTGAGAGAGATCAAAAGGGTGGAGTTTTTTCCAATAATAGCACCCTAAAAAAAAAAATTACAAAACTAGCACACATATGAAAAAATTGACACAAATAGCACCTATATTTATGGAACGCACCTCCAAGATGCGTTTTATAAGTAAACCGCACTTGAAGGATGCGGTTTACATATAAACCGCATCTTGGAGGCGCGGTCTCCGTTACGAAACGCATGCCAGCAATGCGATCCGCGCCAGCTGCGGAACGGTTTTCAAGCCGTTGGATGGAGGCGCGATCGGGCGGCTGAACGCTTGCCAGGGGAGCGATCCGCGCCAAAGACTGCAGACCGCTTGGCCGAGATGCGGTCAGCCCTAGGTAAAAGCAAAACGCCTCGGGAGGGAGCGGTTTTGCTCAGGCCAAAATTACCAGCCCGCCCCTGGGGGGTGCGGTCTGATGGGTATAAATACCCCCCCTCCCCCTCTCATTTCTTCACACCACAACCCATTCTTCCTCCTCTCTCTACAATTTATCTCTCTAACTAAACCCTCCCCTCCCAAAAGCCTAGGAAATAGTGGTCTGTTGGTTGCGGCTAAGTCCGATCTGCCATCAGTAAACATTTCTTAGGTTTTTCCTCAAAACCCTCCGAGTCGAGCCGAAGCTCTGTCCGAATTACGCCGAAATAATGGCCGATTGGTGGCAAGGAGAAGGAGTTTTTGTTGATGAATTTCAAGCGGTATGTACTCATTATTTTGGTTTAATCTTTGTTGTTGTTATAAGTTTTTTACTAACCTCGTTGTTATTTTCTCGTAGGTTGGGGAGGATGTCGATATATACAACCAACGGTATTATCTCGAGCAAGGACCGGTGGATCCAACCGACTTGTACGACCAAACCAACCATCGGTCAAGGGATGTTTGGAACGATCACCCGGTACATACAATTCTTCACCATTTGTCCTTCTTTTATTTTGTTAATGTGCCTAGTGTAATATAAAATTAATTTATGTTTATTTTGTAATCGTGTTGGTTGTTTTCAATAATTTAATCGAATACATAGCGCCACTTACTTCGACTCTTTATAAAGAGATGCACGTCTAAGGAAATGGGGTTTTAAGCGATTATCATATCCTCCCATTACCTGGGAAAATCGGGTATTAAGAGATCCTCGGATCCCCCCTTTTTCTGTCAAAAAGACTGCGTTTCTAAGAAGATGTATACCTCTTCTAAGAGTCTAACGAGTGTTGCTTTGTATTCGATTAAATTATTTAAAACAACTAATACGATTAAATTATTTACCAAACATTTGAATATGTATGTTTCTACTTAAATTATTATTCAGTAACAATGTTATTTATGTTAATTAATTTAGTATGTTTGTTTTACGATAATATGTATGTACCTCTTTAAATTATTATTCATTGACAATGTTATTATGTTAATTAATTTAGGACGTTTGTTTTATGATAATATGAAATGTCTTTTTATGATGATAAAATTATGTTTTATGTCGCATAATTTAATTTAATTAATTTAGTTATACGAAAAAAAACCCTTACTAATAATAATAAACGTGTACATTTTTTGCTAGGAATCACAAACAATAATCCGCTATAGGGGTACCACCAATGTGCTCCCATTCCACCCAGCTATCTTGCCATTTCTCAAAAGGGCACGGTTAGACTCGATTAGGCATTTTAACGGCATCCAAATCGATCGCCAACTCATCACCGCATTAGCCGAGAGATGGAGAAAGGAGACCCATTGTTTCAACTTTAGAGAAGGAGAGGCCACCATCACGCTAAAGGATGTCGCCATCCTAACCCATCTGCCCATCGACGGCAAACCGGTGTGCGTGAGTGATCATCCCCCCGAGGATTGTGACGGTATGCCAGGTTGGCAGCATTTCATCCACAGTCATTTGGGAGTGAAAGTACCGGTGAAGGGTTGCGTTGATGCGACCGATCGCATGCCACCAATGAGGAAACACCAAGTCTCAATTACATGGTTGACGAAGTATTTTAAAGAGCATTACGAGAGTCACCCCCTAACCGAGGAAAGTCCGGAGGATGAGAAGGAGAGATATGCTCGTGTCTATCTCATAGGCATGATCGGAGGAGTGTTATTCTCCAAGAAATCAAGCAATCTCCTTAGTTGTGGATGGCTTAGGATCATCTTCAGTAGTTGGGAGGAGATGGGGGAGTATAGTTGGGCATCCGCTTGCCTAGCTATCATCTACAACAACTTGTGCAATGTGTCGAACAAAGCCGTGAGGGAGGTTGGCGGCGCAATGTTCATCGTCCAATTTTGGGCTTGGGAGCATATGCCATGGCTTGCACCGGCCCAACGTCCAGACAGGGATTGGCCAATCGATCATCCCCTAAGAGGTGAAGCTTATGGAGCAAGGTAAACTTCTCATACCCCATCATGTAGTCATAACACATTTTGTCTTGTGTTTTATCTTATTGTAGTTTCATTCTTGTCATATTAATAAGGTGGCTTGGACACACAACATGCGACAACCTTGCCCAACACAAGTTGGAGGAGTATCGGAGGAGGTTTGAGCGACTTTGGGAAGGAGAGGTAACTTCTATACAGCGATCCATTTATATTTGTTTTTCATGGGACTACATGTATTTTTCTAATTAATTAATCTTACGTTACTCATTTCTATCTTGTAGATCGTCTTCGATCCATACCCGGAGAACATCGTTCAATGGCATCTCCAGCAATTCCCCGATCATATCGGACAATGGTGCACGAGGGTTCCTCTAATTTGTTTTGGGACCGTGGAGTGGCACTTGCCGGATCGATGCCTCCGTCAGTTTGGTCGGGAACAGTGCATTCCGTTGGAGGTCCCCGAAAGTCAAAGGGCCTTCCATGGCCGAGATGGTCGGGAACAGTGCATTCCGTTGGAGATCTTAATGGCAAACACACTAAATAAATATAGATATACAACAGAAAAATGAAAGAGAGAATGAGAGGTGTGAAGAGTTGAGGTTTTCCGGCAAGTCTTATATAGGGAAAAAATTGTGAAAACCGCACCTCTAGGGTGCGGTTTTAGTCTGCATGCAGCCCTACGTCCATAATCCTCTGCATGGTGTGTCGGGTGTCGGAAAATTATTGACATGTAAACCGCACTTGGGGGGTGCGGTCTACATGTCAAAACCGCACCTTAGAGATGCGGTTTGTTCTTGAACGAAGAAACCGCATCTCTAAGGTGCGGTTTAGGTAGGTCAGGCCTAAACCGCACCTCGGCCATGCGTTTCATGTAGGCCAGACATGAAACCGCATGGCCCAGATGCGGTTTAGGCCCACAATTATTGACCGCACCCTCCAGATGCGGTTTACATTTAAAACGCACCTGGGGGATGCGTTTTATATGTAAACCGCACCTGGAGGGTGCGGTCAATAAAAAAAGGTGCTAGTTTTGTAAATATTTTTGGGCGGGTGCTAGTTTTGTAATTTTTTTTTTTAAAGGTGCTATTTCTGGAAAAAACTCAAAAGGTTGTGGGGAAGCAAATATGAATAGAGAGAGATATACCTGAAGAGAGACAGAGACTTGTTGTCCCTCCTCTCCTCCTCCTCCTCCAAATTAGCTTTATATAAATAGACATACTTTTTTGACAAGAAAGCTTTGATTTGATCCCCCTGCCTCCCCTCCTCTCTTTCTGTCCCCAAAGTTTTACCCACAAAAAATCTCTCTCTCAACTCTCAGCAGAGGGTTTTCCTTTCACTTCCCCTGTTCTTTTTCTTGCACTAAGCTGCCACCCACTACTCTGCTCTACTTCTTCCTAATACCACCACTACCATCACACTACTATTTGAAAGGTAAAGAGGATCTCTTTCTGAATATGTGCTCTGTTTCTCCACTTCACAATTCCCCTGTTTCTTACTTGCTCTGTTTCATTCCTTGTCTCTGTTTCTGAATTTTCATCAGCTGGGGGTGGAGATTGTGCTCTAATTTATCAAATTTCATTCTGATTGTGGATTGGAAGAAAGTGAATCAAAGCACAAAAGGGGTTTTAAGCAGAAAAGGTCAAGAGAGAGTTGTGGTATGGGAAGCCATAGGATGGGAGAGATGGGTTTATCAGACTCAGGTCCTACTCATCACCACCACCACCATCATCTTCCTTACGCACTTCTCCATGGAATGAACCCTTCCAACACCGCTTTCATGTACAAAAACCCTAATCCATTCCCCCCCCCCCCCCCCCCCTGTTCTTTGTTCATCACAATTGCTGTTATTACTCATATTCCTCTGTTTTGAAATGTCACAGGAGTCATCCGGACCCTGCCTTTGATTTTGGGGAGCTGGAGGAAGCAATCGTGTTGCAAGGAGTCAAGATTAGGAATGATGAATCTAGAGCAGGTATGCTTCTTTTCCTCTCTTCCCCTCTACTCTGTTTCTGTCTGTGTATCATATTCTCCGTTGAGTGACGTTTGAATTGGCCTATAGAACAGAGTGAAATGATTTGGAAAGCAGAGCAGCAGAGAGGTTTGAATAGTGTGAAGGTCTAAAACTGGAAACTTTCCTGACCTCCTTCTAGGGATTTTTCTCCTTTTCCCCAAAACTCACACTTGTTAGTTTTTTTTCTTTGGCTGTTTCTTGGGTTGGCAGGGGAAGAGGGGGATTAGGTAGACCCAGAAAAACAAGCTTGCCCTCTCTTCCTTGAGTTTTTTTTTTTAATGCATGAAATCCTATCTATGATGATGAAAGAGTGATGATGAGATTGATATGAATCACCATATCTTTGGGTTGCAGAAGTTGCAGCAGCAGCAGCTTTATTTACAGAAGAACAGGGGAAACCTTCTGCTTCCACAACCCTTGAAATGTTCCCTTCATGGCCGATGAGATTCCACCACCAACAACTCAATACTCCCAGAGTAATACTTTTTCAAATTCAATAAGTAGAAAAGATTCAATCTTTCTTTCATCAATATAGCAATGAAACCCTAGTTGCCCATTCCTGCCCAAATCATTACCCCTAAAAAGGGTTTGCTTTTTCTTTTTGGCCTTTTTGTAGTAATTGACTCCTTTTTCCCCTTAATAATGGCTGATGGCAGGGGAGTTCAAGGTCAGGAGGGGGAAGTACGGATTCAGGGTCAGGAGTAAACACAATCTCAAGCAAAGCTGAAGCTTCAGCTCATCATCATCATAATAATAACATGGAGCCAGAATCACCCATCAGTAGAAAAGCTGCGTCGTCTTCCTCGGATCATTACCACTTCCACCAAATGGATCAATTGGCAGCCAGCAATGGCGGAGCAGGCCCTTCAACCTCTTCCCACCACCAACAGCAACAGAATCAGTCTGCTGAGAAGCCGCCCAATGAAAAGGTTTATGTTCATCTTAATCACTCTCGATACTAAGAAGCTGAATAAAGTTGGCATCTTTAACGTCATTATTTCTGTTCATTTCATTTCATTTCTTTCCCCTGTTATGAGATACGTAAAATGAAGAGAACCCGGATCCCAACAAACCTTCAGAAGATCAAAAAGTGCAGGGCAGAGACAGAGAGAGGATTTTTTTTCTTTCTTTTTCTTTCTTTTCTTCTTCCCTATTTCTTTTATCTCTGATTCCCTGAAGGATTTTCTGTTCATTTTCTGACATGGAAATCAGAAAGAAAGAGAGTTTCTCAGAATCTCTACAGTACTTGGCTACTGTTTTTTGGGTTTTCATTTTTTTACTGTGTAGGGATTAACAAAACTTTACTCAATCCCCATAACTCCCAGTTCAAACGAAGCTCTCTCTCTACTCTCCAGTTTCCTTCTTCTCTGTGGTTTCTCCAAAGTCCAAACATTCCTCTGTTTCTTTCTATCCTCCCAAACTCACCAAAAAATGGCGGATGAACTCTATTACCCTTTCCACGTAGAAGATATCGTCATGGAACAACAGACCCATTACTCTTCTCATCTCTTCCTCCAACCCCAACTCGCCCCAAATCCTTCTGTCAGCTCCCTCCCTGTCCTTCTCTGTTTTCCCCTCCTTCCTTTCAGTTCCTAACCATTTCCCTCTTTTTTTTGTTGCAGAGGAAAGGCGCATCATCTGAGAAGCCGCCCGATGCCAAGGTAACAAACACTATTTCCCAAATAAACTCAAAACAAGAACATTGTTCGTCAAACTAACCTCTTGAAATCTTGATTTTTTGTTCAGACGTTGAGGCGTTTGGCTCAAAACAGAGAAGCAGCAAGGAAGAGCCGACTCAGAAAAAAGGTACTTACTTTGAATCAATTACTTCTCCAGTGGGTAAAGTTTAAATGATTTACAACCATAATACTGTACAGAATTTTTTAAAGTTCCCTGAGTATTTTTTCTTTTGTTGTTCTACAGGCCTATGTGCAGCAGCTAGAGACCAGCAGAATAAAACTCAGCCAGATGGAACAAGAGCTTCAAAGAGCACGCCAGCAGGTCAATTTTTCCTATTTTTTTTTTCTTTCTCCATTTACTACCCAAATTTCTCATTTTTTTATTATTTCCTCATTGGTGAAAGGTCAAAACTTTCTGATTTCTCTCCTCCATTTGACTTTGTTTTGGTTTTCCTCATGGCAGGGTCTTTTCCTGAGTGGTTGTGGTGGAGCTGGTGGCAATCTCAGCTCTGGTAATTAATTATTCACCAGTTAATCTCTTTTTCTTACTGTTCGTCGACATGAGATTTGATACTAATTATGATTAAAGAAAGATGGGAAATTTTGTTCTGTACTGAGAGTGGTTAATGTAAGACCAAGGAGGAAATATTCTTTTGAAAATGATGTACCAAAACCTAATCTATGGACTATGATCTATCCCCCACATTTTGCTTAATGATTAGCTGAATTAATCTCTGAATTAACACTGACCCACTTCTAAATTCGATTCCTTTTTATCCATTTCTCGAGCTCTGTTTTTAATCTTTGACTTTCTGACAGCGGCGGCGATGTTTGACATGGAGTATGCGCGGTGGCTGGAAGACGACCTCCGGCACATGTCGGAGCTCCGGACGGGGCTCCACGCACACTTGTCGGACGGCGACCTCCGGGTCACCGTCGACAGGTACGTCTCCCACTACGACGAGATCTTCCGGCTGAAAGGGGCGGCGGCGAAGTCGGATGTCTTCCATTTGATCACCGGAATGTGGGTGACGCCGGCGGAGAGGTGCTTCCTTTGGATGGGCGGGTTCCGGCCGTCGGAGCTCATCAAGGTCAGTCTAATAATTGCATCTTTTGGGGATTTTATGAAGTTACTATTCTTGGGTTGATGTTGGTCTCTGTTTTGGTGGTGCTGGATGCAGAGGACACTCTGTTTTTAATTATCCACTACACAGACACAATTTTAAGTGGGGAGGTGTTGATTAGACAATGGAAGTTTCCTTTCTAGGGTTAAAGAGGAAGTTTTCCATAAGCATTAGAGTGGCCAATTTTTTTTTAGAGTAGTGTCTAATTGTAATCCATCTCTTGTCTCCTTTGGTCTAATCATGATGATGCAATTGATCTTTGATTGATATGAAAGGCCATTTTTTTTTTCATTTTAAGGACTTTGGCTATAGTGTATTGATGACACAAGTAAGTTATGTGTGCAGATGTTGATTTCCCAACTCGACCCGTTGACGGAGCAGCAGGTGATGGGGATATACAGCCTCCAGCACTCGTCACAGCAGGCGGAGGAGGCGCTCTCTCAAGGCCTGGACCAGCTCCACCAGTCGCTCGTCGACACCATCGCAGGAGGGTCGGTCGTCGACGGGATGCAACAGATGGCCGTCGCCTTGGGGAAGCTGGCCAATCTTGAAGGCTTCGTTCGCCAGGTAATTACAACCGTAGATTATCCTTAAAAACTCTTTAATCTACATAGAAAGTAAGGTTGTCATGTGATGCTATTGGAAAAAGATTGATTAGCCCCTTAGTTTGATTCTGTCTTCAATCCTAGTAAATGATGGAAACCACAAAATTTCTAGACTAATCGGCAAGTTATTGATAATTAGCGACCACCCCTTTTAGTGACCATTTCCTAGACATCAATATATATATCGACTTTCTCCCCCTTCTCCCATTGAAATTGATTATGATTAATCTTAAGGAACTCTTTAATCCTATTGATTATATGAAGTACTTAATCTCCATAAGCAATCCACCTAGCCAGCTGCTCCATGTGTTTGAAACTCTGAATTGACCTTGTTGGTTTTCTAATGTTGTTTTTAGTCACCATCACGGCTCTCAGTCAACTTGGTGATGGTGACGTTGACTCTGATCACTAGCCCAATCAGAACTTGCCACGTTTGGTGGCTGGATTTTTGTCTAACCCTAAACCCTAATCATTAATTGGCGTCTAATACATGTTCATTGTGTTGAGGAAATTATTCGATTGCTTTGAGTCCAATTAAGAAGGCCACATCAAAATGTTGATTGATAATTATGGCTAAGGTTTTTTTTATCTTGTTATTATTCATTTATCTTTGTTGTCTTAATTGTACTTCGATGTTGGTTTGCCATCTTAATACGTAGCCATCAATGGTGTTTGTTGAAATTAGTACACTACTCTATCTAGCTTGGTAGCTATCTAGGGTTCTTATCACTAATACAAGACAAAATCCAATTAAAAACCTCCTCAATCATGGTCTCATATAGGTTAATAAATCGTGTCAATTTATTATCATGTGATTATTGGATATTTTGGAAGGGTGCAAAAGTCCAAAGGTAAGACAAAAAGCTCAACTATTTGGGTCAAATTTGAGATTGTTGAGAAGGATTACTGATGTTAATGGTTAATTTTATTTTGTACGACGAAGTGCAAGGTGGATAACGATGTGGTTTATACATGATCAAATCGCGATATTTGGATCGAACGAAATCAAATTTTTTTTTCCCCCGGTTTGGTTTGATCCAACGAATTATCTAAAAGACGATGAAGCAGAAGTGAAATATCGATATGGAATATGGCGATAATAAATTGCACAAATCTATTTGATTCGAATATGGCTCCCCATTTTCCTTTGTTTTTGGTTTGATCTTATCTCAATTGTTTCGGTTCCAGACCAGATCGATCGAGGTCCATCCTAGTAACTTTTTTTTATATAATATGCCCACCCCTCTTGGTTAATTACTGAATGCAGGCTGATAACTTGAGGCAGCAGACGCTCCACCAGCTCCGGCGGATCCTGACCGTCCGGCAGGCGGCGCGGTGCTTTCTGGTGATCGGAGAGTACTACGGCCGGCTGCGTGCTCTGAGTTCTTTGTGGGCGTCTCGTCCCCGAGAGTAAGTTCGTCGCTAAATGGTATATAGCGTTATTTTTTCTAGCGACGGAAATATCCGTCGCTAACTCGCTTGTCCTGGTCCTGATTTTTCAGCACGTTGATGGGAGACGAGAACTCTAGCCAAACGACGACGGATCTGCAAATGATGCAGCAGCAGCAGCAGCAGTCTTCGCAGTCTCATTTCGCCAGCTTTTGATGATCAAAGCGTTACCAAAGAGGACGAGAGTGCTTTTTAGCGACGAGTATTTAAGAGAACCAACGATAAAGAGGATTCGTTGTGCAATGTATCGTCCTCAGCTTTAGAAGAGATAAAAAGAAATTAGGAACTCTTTTTTATTTATTTTTATCTTGGTAGTTTTTTTTCCTAGTATTTTCTTCCCACTTCCATTTCTCTATTTAGGGTTAGTCCAAATTCCTTATCTCGGCAGGCAATATATATCTATTGTTTGTTGCCATGTGTTGTCGTTGTTAAATGTAAATTAAAATTTTCATATTCTAGCAATTTGATGATAGAGTTGTCATGTTACATTGATGAGATCAAGATATCAGTTTGCATGATGGGTATTGCGGAAATGCTTGTACGTATGTGTGTTACGTGATCTGAGTATGATGACATTGCTATCGATTCGCACCTATGTTAGTAAACGATATACGAACTATGATCGATCATTTTTTAACCATCCAAGTTATTGAAATCAGTTGGTTTAAGACGTGGTATCTGAGCTTTCGAAAATTGATAGATTTTGGAAATCCGAGTTGTTGATGAAATTCCTGTGGGTTTACGACATGGTATTTGAGCTTTCAATAATTGAACGAGTTTGACAATCCGCGTTATTGAAACCAGTTGGTTTATGATATGGTATCCAAACTTTCAGAAATTGATGATTAAATAATTGTTAAGCAAAAAGTATTTAGAGTTGTGCAAACTTCAAACTCATGAGTTGGCTATCATTTGAGAGGGCGTGTTTGCAAATGATATATGATCTCCAACATAACTCTAAATATTGAGTTTTAGCGAGTGACATTAGTTTCATTACTGAACCTCTCCTAACAACTCGAGTTATCGGGATCAATTGATTCTTGACATTATATCAGAACAATCTGTGTCAGAGAGGTCTTGTGTTCCAATCCGGTGACCCTATTTGTGAAGCACATGGTATTCTCATACTCAAAACCTATGCAAACGAAATCCATTTTGAGTTGATTGTCTTTCGTTTGAGGGTGTGTATTATAGCGAGTGTGTTAATAAGATCCATTATTGAACTTTTTCCAACAACTCGACTTATTGAGATCAATTGATTCTCGACATTGAGATAAATTGATTTATAAAAAAATAAATTTGGAAGGAATTCGTGTATACATCGTCTAATTAACGTCCTCTAATAGAACTCTCATATGGAGACTAGCTCGATATGCATTGGAGAAGATGAACTACTTGTTTGGTTAGAGATTGACTCGTATTAATTGAATGAGAAAAGGACAAAGGTAGAGCAGCAGAAACGGAGCATTGAGCAATGTGATGCATGCATGGTGGTTCATCTTTGATCACACTTTTGTTTTGAATTTAACTTGAGGTTTTGGGAGAAAGTTATACGGGATCTTATATCACTCTCTAATACGACCTTTTAAACGAAAGTCAATCCATGAGCTTGAAGTTTGCACAGGCCCACCATACCATGTGCTTTAATCAACTGTTAATATTTGGGGTCGTGGAGATTCGAATACATGACCACTTGGCCAGACCAGCTTTGATACCATGTCATAAACCAGCTGATCCCAATAACTCGAGTTGTTGGGAGAAAGTTATACTGAATCTTATACCACTCTGTAACAATCAGACCAGAGCCATCGTTCTCCTTTCATCACATGATCAAACTACATAGCGACATCCAGCCAGCCGGCATGGAGAACATAGCTGTCCCAATAATTCGAGTTGCGTTGGGAGAGATTCAAGAATGTTTCATATATTATTTACTAATACATCTCTTTAAATGAAAATCGACTCATATGAGTTTGAATTTTGCACAGATCTAGATATACCATGTTCTTAACAGAACAGATGTGTGTAATTGGGATTCGAATGAAAGATTTCTCGATTACAGAATGCTCTAATACCGAATCGGCGGATTGTATTTATTGGGTGGTTTTCAAAGCCTGCGTCAAAGTATAACCTAGATGGGAGGATGACGATCGAAGAGGAGAGGAAAATAAGGGGAGAGATGCGAAGTGTCCTTTGAAACTTTGGACGTATCTTTGTCGACGAGGGACAAGTGTTTGCAAATCAAGCACCAATATATAGTGACGGCTGTCTCTGAGTTTCCATTACCCCACGTGTTGTTTCTTTAATAAGTAAACCCCAAACAGTTTTCTTTCTTCCCATTACTGAATTCTATGCAACATATATATTTTATTACTTATTTATTGTCAAATTGATTTATCAAAGTAATAGAATAAAATAGATTCACCCTTATAATTAAGTAATAAAATAAAAACTAGGCAAGTGAAAATGATGGTTGATCGCCTCTAAATTAACACTAAGAAACCAGGACCGGCGAGAAGCAAGATCAGATCGTAGAACAAAATCTGGTTGACCTAGAAATTATCAGGTAATCATTTTAATTAAATAAATTAAAATTAATTAAGTGGAGTAGTATCATTAAGGACAATCCAATTTCTTTGTTTCATCCTTTCTTCTTCATCCTTTCTATTTGTTGTGTATAAAATCCTCCATTGCGGGCATTGACCATCATGAATTCATGATAGCTTTCCCTGGCCAATGTGTCCTTCCATTTATAAGTAAATAAAACGAAAAAAAAGGAGAAACCCAAAAGCAAATAATTAACAATAGAGGGGGAACAGGCAAACGGTCTAATGATGGTACTATATATTTGTTAATAAAGCATAATTAAATATATGATAATTAAGTGAAAGTCAACTATTTATCTACCTATCTACCTGCAAAAAAAAAAAAAAAAAAAAATTGGTCGAAAAAATAAATAAATTATCAGTACAGAAACTATCAACTTAATTATTATATTATCATCATTAATTCTGCTGCTCTTTGTTTTTAAATGACGAGTCGTCCTTGTTGCCCCTCCAGCCTGCTCCTTTTTATGTTTGTTAATCAATGGTTTGGAAAGGTAATGGAGAACCATTAAACTTTTGCCGACCATTCGTCACCGCGATTGGATCGTACTAGAATCCAACAATTATCGTTTATTAAAGGATTTACTCACGAGAGTATAATGTGGTTCCGAGAGGTACAAATATGAATCATATACATTGTTAATTGACAGTTATTCTATGAGTTTGAAGGTCGTAATGATTCGATAGGCACAAAACCTATACGATAAAACATTCTAATACTATGTTGAGAATCAATTTGTTTTGATAACTGAAATATTGAAAAGTATACATATATCAATTTTTATATATTTATTTCTTTTTTTAAATAGTAAAAATAATATATGATCGTCCAACAATAAGACATAGACTTCAATATTATAGTTAAAATCTATACTTTAAATTTTAAAAACTTACATTTTTCCGCCTCTTAAATCACCAAAACGTTTTTACATAGAATCACGATTTTGACTGCATTACGCGAATGAAGCATTAATATCACTCAATGTATCTAATCCAAACAATCGACTTTACCATTGTCTCGTTCAATTAATACATACAGGGATGTACTATTTACAACATATCTCAACCCCCTTCTATAGTTACATCTTCTCAACCTGTCCAGCCTTTGCCAGACAGACACTAGAGTTGTAATATTTTTAGTCTCTTTCCTTAATCTCTTGGCCAAAATCGGCATGGGGACTGCACCTCCCCTTCTTTTCTACATCAGGTTCAATTCAGAGAGGTCGTCCATGGGTATCTCGAGACCAATCGAGTAATGATCCTGCAACCCATCATCGTCGAGCAAGTTGAATATCGAACCGAGATCTTGGTTCCCATCATCGGCCGACACCCCAAGCTTATCCAGTTCATCCAGTGGCAAATCCATGGCTTCCTCCTCTGCTTCTTTAGGTTTGACTTCTCTCTCTGGCTTGCTGCGACCATTGGGTGCTCCTGTCGGATGACTGGATCGACAAGGCCCATTCGCTGCTGCTGTCGCAGCAGCAGCAGCAGCAGCCGCGCTTTTCTGCTTGGTAGGCTTGGCTTTTGCCCTGCGACTCCCTCCTGCAGAGGAAAGACTAGTTAATATATCCTTGACATGGTGACATCTATTCCTATCAATCATTCCCTTACCCTTGGTCACAGTAACAGTGCCATGATAAAGAGTTGATGTATCACTGATTATGACATCATTAATATGAACACGTCCTTCTTACCTCTTTCGAAGCTATCGCAGAGGGAATCGTTTCTCTCTAATGGACTAGACGCAACACCACCTGCAACACAGGTTAGAATAGAGCCATTGAAATTAACTATACACCACAGTTGGTAATGATTATGACAAACGGAACAGAAAGCGAGCACATATCGCAAGTATAGAGTTTGATATTTGCATCAATAACGCCCTGGAAACCGCAGTGACATGACCATTTATAACAAGCAAAGCATATAATATATTTTTTCAAGACCTAAATCCATCTGTCTCATCAAACAAGGTCTTTAAGTTGCTGTACCTGATAATCTGGCCTCAGTTTGATGGTTAGAAACATCATTCGGTGTGTTGCTGGCAGTTCCTGAGCCAACACAATCAGCAGACTTGGCTTCATTATTGCATGGGGGTGTCGAGAAGAGGGCGTCCTGTAATGCTGGTTCGCTGAAGCAGCTGATACCTCCATCTTCGAATTTTTTACATCTACCAAGTGTACGCCTAATAAAGCCCAAGGCAACTTGTCTAGGAACCTTGCGTACTGCTGCTTTTGATGTTGTATTTCCACGGCAAGCCTGCAGACCAAAGTACGATTTTAACTGTATGAAAAGCAACTACCAACATACTCCCCAACCAGTAAACTAGAGTACTAGCCAAACAGAGGGGAACTTAAATGACTAACAATCGTTTCATCCCTTCCATTTAGATGAATCGAACTTGGAAAATAGAAGTGCAGCAACTTCTAATAGCTCATGCTAACTGGTACCAATTCCAATGGAAAACCTTGGTTACTGATTGCTCTCCAATTTATCTTCACCAATGCACGTGAAACTAAGATGCAGCATACCACGAGGCTCTAATGGCACAGCATTCCTTAAGAGTGAACCTTAAGAGTGAAATTTTTCCATCAAGCTAAACAGAAAAACACGAACAACCTACTGCAAAGAGGCTTCCTGTGAACAGAAATATGAAGCAGGCGAAAACCAAGATTGCCGGATTTTTCTCCAAACTAGTTAACATTTTGCAAATTCAAAATTGAAAAGACTACATTGTCACAGCAGGTTAAATATATTTAGTACTAACAGTCAGGATAAACAAGTACCAGTCTTTTCCTGTAAGCAATCTCAACAAGTTGGTCCATAGCATTTTTCTCAACGCTCCTGCAATGATAGCTATGTTACTTAGTTAAA